ATAAAACCTAACAGTTATAGCTGATAAATCTCCGACATTAGATGCAGAAAACAATAATGAAGGAATCAGATTGCTGGAAGAACTTGACGATGCGTTGGAGCAGGATGATAATCTAACTTTTGAACAGATGCGACAGAAGGTCCAGGTGCTAAAGCAGTTATTATAGGGAATTTATACCAAGAAAAAAAGATGAATATTTTATTAAATAAGTTATAAAATTTGAGACGTTTTTTTTTTTTTTTTTTTTTTTTGAATTAAAATGTTTTTGACAGTACGCTTAATGAGTGCCGTATCTTTGTGCCAGCAACAATTCTTGTTGAAAATGTTCTCAAATAGAACTAAAATGGGTTAAAATGAGACTACAGTTTTTGAAATTAAAGTTGTTTTCTTGTATTTTATAGATCATCGATGTTGTTGAAGATAACAGAATAAACATTGAAGATTACATTTTTAGCATACCACTGATATTGCAAACAATTTACTAGTGTCTTTTTTTTCTTTTGTCTCTAAGTAGTTGCTATTTTAAGCAACAAAATCAGTAGCACTTTTGTCTCTTTTTTTTTAATTTAATGATTAAAAATTTACATTTATAATCAATTAAAAATTAATAGTTTTATAACAAATCAGAAAAAAAAATTACATTTTTTTCTACGAATTTTTCACAGCTAAATGATACTGGAAAAATAGAACAATTTTCAATGAAATTTTGCTTGTTTAGACCAATAAAAAGTGTAGTTGACGGTTTGAAACAAACTTAAAAATGTATGCTTTTATCTTGTAAGGCAAATTTTAATCTTGTTTTTTTAAAACCTATTTGCACTAGTGTTTTTTTCACACAAAAAAATAAGTTTTACAAATTTTATCTGAACTTTAAGAAATGTTCCAAATAGGGTGTCATTGTATGGATTAAAAATGTTTAATTGGCACACAGCTGATTAATGTAAGCAGTATTTCTGTTGATCATCTTTGGAATTACTTCGAACAGTAGTAATAAATTAGCTAAATTTTTTCTCTGTTTGCATTTAAACAATAGTTAAATTGTTTTTGTTTTTTGACTTGTTTTTATTTGTTCATCTTTTTGTTTAGGAAATGAATCTACCTTTTCGACAGTATGCATATGATAGAGATGAATATCCAGAATTAGAAGTTGAAGAAACCTCTATACGTTCATCAGAGCAAACGTCTGCACCAACAACTGAAGAATTATATCGTGGTAATTTTTTGCTTTACACAGTAATAAATGCTTTGAAATTTTACCAGGAAATGCTTCAATTGATGAAGCAAAAATATAGCATCTAACTGTAGTTTTTAGCATAAGTTACAACGCTAAAATTAATGCTGTTCAAAAGACCACTCTCTTTTCTGTGCTTCCAAAAATTTCAGAAAGTTTCTTTAAGCCTTCTTCATTATGCTTTTAGAGAACCAAATGAATACAATTTAATCATATGCTTTAGATGCTTGTTTTTTACCAGTCAAGCACTTATTCTGCTTTAGTTGATTTTTTTTGCTCTACGGTTTCAAGTACCTTTTTATACCGATTTTAAATAAACTGCTTAAACTTAGTAAAATCAAAATCAGTATAGTTCAGTTGTCATTATAAAGCACCAATTTTTATGAAGCAATTTGAATCTTTACATCTTCTCAGTTCTTCTACACTGAAATTGTTTTGTCAGCAATCACGAAATACTCTCATCTTAAATTTCATCGTATTTCTAAAACAAACCTTTACCTTTCTTTTTTCACCGCTTTTCTTTTTAACCTTTTATTTCAGTGTAATAACGTTGAGCAAAAAAATTTTGTTTTCTTAATTGTTTTTCTTTTTTGACTTTGTTGTATATTCCGTTTTGTATCAAAAACTAAGCTTTGATTCGGCAAAAACCGATCACATTTTTTATATTTACCAAAGCAATCTTCAACAATGTACCGCTTTTTTTTTTTGTTAAAAAACTTTAAGGTATACCTCACGATCAAATTTGTCCATTTTTTAATATCGTAATAATTGAGTTAATGTTTCATCTGATATGCGTAGTTTACATTGGTATATTCAAAAATACAATTTTAAACGCACGATTTACACTTTCGATTATATTTCTTGTCCAGTTGTGGTTTCTCGACAAGCGGCAGAAATAGTGACAGTATCTACGAAACTATTTTCCTGAACTTTTGGTATACCAAAACTTTTGATAATTTATTAAAAAATTTTGATTTATAGTAGTTATCAGGAATTTATATTTATATTTTCTAACATTTAGTATGACTTCTGTAAACTTGTCTGTAAAATTTTCTTTGAAAAAATTTTTTGCTTTCTTGATGTTCTGATACGTAAAAGTTTTTTTTATCTTTTAGTGTAATTTTTACAAGTATTTTAGCAGATAAATCTATAAAATCTTGACAAGCACAATTTTAAATTTTTAGAATTTTTCTTCTGTTTTTTTTTTTTTTGCCATAAAAGTTGGAAGTACAAAAAAAAAAGTTTCAACACTTATTTTGAACATTTAGTTATTTGTTAACTTATGAAGAGCTAACAGTGGAATAAGCAAACGATTATGCTTGGCATTTAAAAGTAATTTTTTGTTCTATAGAAGTCATCTTTCAGCTTTACTCGTTCCTTATTTAACAGCAAAAAAAACTGTTTGTTGACTTTTATTTGAAACAATGACAATTTTGTCTAAATCTTGTCGAGAAAGCTTTAGTAGAGGTAGTGTAGATAATAAAATTTATTGAAAAATTATGATTTATAGTGGTCATCAGAAATTTATATTTACATTTTCTAACATTTGGTATAAAATTTTAAATGTTAATTAGATTTCACATTTTTACAGTTTTTAATCAAGTTTTTTTTTTCTAGCTTTTTTCAGGAGTACTTAATTGCGAGGTTGCTAAAGCTTTCACAGAGAAGCTGAAAAGAAATGAAATTTTTGAGGTGAAAAAAGAAAATGAATAACC